ATTTTGAGGACTGCTCTAGATCTTGGCAGAGCAAAAAAAAAATATCTCAGGATGTGAGATTTTTCATGAAACTAAGCATTCTGCAGGAGACTGAGTAGGTATTCTTTAATTTGTAGGCCCATGAAACAATTTGATCCTCCCTAATTCCTTGATAAAAATTGTGATGGAAACATCTATCATTTAAATTGATTAACCAATATGTGCTCTCCTTCATAACCAATTACATCTTCCTTTGCAATAGGGTACCTCAAGGTTAGGCAAGAAAAGACAAGAAAATGGGACAGGTGATGCTATATTACATACTGGTCCTCTTGTTTCACTGCCAAAGTACATATTACTAACCCCCGAATTATAGGGTAGTTATCTCTTTTTGGCATGATTTCACTGGGAGAAATTTTGCAGCTCTCCAACAGAACATTTTTATCTCTATGCCTTAGGATTCTTCTTTGATCTGAAAGCACAAAGCAGGGCACCTGCTCTCATTATGAATCAGTTATGTTTCTCACTTCAGTTTGGGAAATACCACTGGACTGTCTTTTTTTAATTATCAGGGAGAACAGAGTTGTATATAAAAAAAATAACTGAATAGTCACTGCATGGAAGAAAATAAAGATCCATCCAGCCATCCAATTTAATTTCACAAGATTAGGAGTGTTAATGTTTTTGTAGCAAAAACAGCTAAGAATTGGTTTTATTTGAGAAGTCTATTTGTTCAGTTTCTACTCCCAGGCATCTACATACATGTTAGATTCACACATTGAACTGAGCGATTATGTGGTTTGGTTTGGTATGGTTTAGCATGATGTTTGAATTTAGCCACTAGAGTTTGTTAACTATGTTTTATGGCTCAGCAGTTTGTGTGAACTCAACCAACTGTGCTTTATTCAATAAAGCTATAGTTAAGCAAACTATAGAATATGAGCCCAGCAACAGGTTTTTCCTTCTCAGCCCAGGCTAGATGGATGGAGTGAATTGGTGAGTGGTTTGTCTGCCTGACTTAATGGTCTTCATCCTGTTTTGGAGAAGAATGTGTTTTCCTAAAGGTCAAGTCTGACGTTTGAGCCATCTTTGTCACTGAAGCAGAGGCTGGCCCTACTTCTCCATCTTCTGGTAATCTCCAGATGGTTTCTTCAATGTCCTCTGAAGATGGTTCAGAAACTTTCATTATCTCAGAATATAGTTCCTGTTTGTTTGTAAACTGGGACTGGATGGTTCGTTTAGTTTGTTCTAAATGTATCTTCAAATAGAATTGAGCCTGAAAACCAACCTAAATGCTACTTCTAATGTCTAAAGCTCTTATTAGTTTTAAACCAAAGGATTGCCTCTTTCTCTCCCGCCTTACTTGGCTCTCTAGATGCTAATCTGTACATCAGAAGCCATTCTGTCCTCCCTCTCACTATTTGAGATGCAGAGGCTGCCTATCAGAGAGAGGACCTTCTTGATAGCAGCTCCCAGCATGTGGCACACATTCTTCTACGTCCCTCACTTCCGTTTGTAGTGTAGCTTGAGTTTGGCTTGGATCAACTGAGATACAGTGTTATACATTTTTATTAACACATAGAAAATTCTGAAGAAATACAAAACAGTATTACTTTGGCAGAACAGTGAGAAAACAAAAGATGGGAGCAATACAACTTTCACTTACAGCAACATTTTTTCCATATTATTAAAAAAAAACCTTAAAAATTAAGCAAGCACATTTACAACATCAACAACAAGGGGAAAAGGAGTTGAAATTAATGGAAAAGAGATACGTTGGGCTAGGATTTTGTGTCTAGCTACATTGACTTCAACTGGATGGTGCCCGTATAAGTGCAGGATGGCCATTAGAAGTTGCAGCATGGGAGTTGAAGTCCAATCCTCTTTAGAGCATGTGATTGAGTAAGGCTGGAATAAAGGACAAAGTCTGGCTTTTAATCATGAAGCAACATGGGATTAGATTGTCCTAGCTGTCTTTCACCCCAAAGCCATACCCAGAAAAAGGAATCCAACCTTGAAGTGAATATGTGGGTTTGAATACAATAAAACAAAACAAAACGTTTAACTGTTCAGATTTATCCTTTTTCTCTGGCTGATTCCTTTATGATCCCATTCATCCAATCATCAGTATAGGAGAGCAGTTCATCTTCTGCAGGCTAAACTTGTGCAACCTCTTTCCAGTGCCACCAACATATTCAAAACTGCCCTCTTCCCTTTCCTTGGATCTGCTCACTAACCCCTAGAACTGTCGTGTTGAGTGCCTGCTAAAGTAACAGTTGCCCACCAAAGAGTGACCCCAAACCCTTTTTTCTCAGGCTGAGAATTGCCAAATTGTTTTTCGTGGGCTGCCTTCATCTTGACAATGAGCTTCATTCCCTGAGATTTTTTTAGGTGCATGTGGTGCATGGCAAAGTCAAACCCTAATTATGGCACAGTGTCATCTGGGTTTGCTTTCTTTTAGGGTGTGATGACCGATAAAACATCTGGGGTATCCTCGTGTATTTGAAAATAGGTATGGCATCAACTTGGTCATTGCCTATTCTGTTCAGATTGGTTTTTGGCAACTTTACACCAGTTTCTGATTAAGCTGTAAAGTTTTATGAACAGGATTCCCATCAGTAGAGTTTTCCTGAGCAACTCCCGAGTCCTCCTTTTTCTACAGAGAATGTTCGAAATTCTACAAGAATCCACAGGTTACAGCATTTGCTCCTCTTTTGGATTTTCTTAGTTATAATGAAATCCCCAGGAATGGGGAAGGGACTCGTCAACTTTATTAATCCTGTTGCAAGTCACAAGCTTTCCCCGCTTGTCCTCTGCCAACCTTGCTTATTCATGGCTTGATTTACCTCTCGTTCTGTCCAACCTTTGCATAAATATCAATGCTGCTGCAAACACTATAACATCCCAAAGCAGTTCTCTGGATTTAAGGGTGTTTGGTCCACAGTATAAACCATTCTTCTCTTTTATCCAGTTTTCAAACTTCCATTTTGAAATCAGTGCACAAGTCCAATTTGATCTGGAGGAGTCAGTTTCTTTTCCTCTATCAGTTTCTGATAGTTTCTTTGGAAATTGCATGGTTGGTTATATAAATGGTCCCCTCCCTTATGAATCTGGAGTCCCCATCCAATCTAACTGTTGATTAGCCATTGAAAAAAAAATCAGCTCAGATTCTAGGAGCAATAAGCTGTGTTTACCAACCTTTACACATCAGAGCAACAGAATGAAACTGAGTTCAACTGGGTTTATGGGATAGTACAGGCCCTCTGCCTTAGAATAAATTAATCACTGAGATATATGGGTATCCAAGATATGTAGCTTGTCCTGTTTATCTGATCTGCCATGTAAAAAATTATTTTTGTTTAATTTAACATTATTCAGACATTATACAAGAATAACAACAACAGCAACAATAACAAGTAACACATTTTCAAATGGGGGAGGGGAGAGACCCCATGTCAAAGAAACAAAAAAAGAATTTGAATCACTTTGGTATCATACGTACCTAATGTGCACCTGGCATCATGCTATCATGCTTGTTTTTACAGTGGATCAACCTAGGATTGATTTATTTTGTGTGTGTGTGTGTGTGTGTGTGTGTGATATACACATCACATCACTCAAAGGTTTAGGGAATAAGAAAGGTTTTTCTTGCTTTCACTGTTCATAATTATTTCACCAAAGACATTTGCGCATCAAATACACAACACAGTAATGCTATCACCTGATTGCAAATTAAATATGATAAAAGTGTTCTTGAAATAAAATGTAAGACCAATGTCATTAAGTGCATAAAACGTAACACAGAATACTGGTATGCATAATGACCAAGATAGGAATATTATTCATTTATACTAAGCAACGTGGTAATATAAAAGACAGCATCAACGAAGTCAGTGGATAATTATTAAAGTTTTAACCAAATATTGGTCTTCCGCCCAACCCACCAGTGAACATTAACAACATATACATATGAATATATATATATATATATTCATTCATATTCACAGATCCTCCCTCTTTAATTTCACATCGCTTTCTGCCAAATTCTGAAAAATGCTGAGTGCATTTTTTTCAGGATTTAATTTGTCTAAATGTAGCAATAAAAAAAGTGCAGTAAAAATATACATTGCATTTCAAAATGTCCTGCATGTGGTTCAAAATCTTTGGAAGCTTCTCAGGACTCACTCGTCCTGTATAGAATTCATGCTGATATCTTTCAGAAGCTCTCAAAAGTTAATGGAGAGTCTTTCCAAAATAAAAATAAAATAAAATTTGTATTGTTTCCAGGGCTTGTTTCCTTGCATATAAAAATATGGGGTTGCTTGGAAGTAGGTTTCAAGAGACACCCAATAACTGCTGAGTGGCTGTAGCATCTGGCAGTTCATAGGTCCATCTTGAAGCCAACTCTAATTCTTCACATAGACAAGAAAGCCTGTGGGACTCTGCTGTTTTCAAATGTGGTGAGAACAGCATACACGCCAGGTAGTGGAACAGAACCCAACAATGTATCTTCAAGTAGAATTTCTACTGCACCAAGAACTCCCGAAAAATGCTACATTTTTCTTCAGTCTGTCTTTCAGTTCCCTGGCATGCAATAAGAAGTTACGGGGAAACCACCACATTATTTTAATACTGTCAAGTCAGCTGGAGGGAGGAGCTACACATTAAAAAAAAGACAGGGCTCGTGCGGAAAATGGCATGCGTGTGTCAAATGCAAAACATTGGTGTCACAATCTGGGCTGTTTCATAACAGAAGAAAGAGCGCGAAAGGGGGAAAATCTGACTTTGGGATACCATTTTCTGTGCTAGATTTGAATCTCTTTGATCTGCTGACCAACGTTTACAGTATGAAAAACCTAACCCACCCAATGGGTGCATCTAAACAGGAATAGAATTGTGGCCTGTGTTTTCAACAGAGTGTGCGGAAAAGCAAATGAATGGTATCTCTTTCTAATGCTTTTTAAAAAGAAGCTGAAATGATAAATATAACGCAGTGGCAATTGCTCTGAAATACTGAGATATTACAGGGGGCTGTGGGTTGACCTGCTCAAGCTCTTGTGTAAGTTGGGATTTTGGCTGTGCCGGTTTCTGCTGCGAACGGAAGAAAACATTGTGTTACAGCCTGGGATTTTGCATTTGTGCAACTGACGTAGGTGCACAGTTTTGTAATGGGCTCTGAACGTTCCTTTGTTACTATAACTTTTTTGGCAGATGTGACAGGTTATTGGCAAGCTGGAAGGTATGGTTGAGAAATTCCGGTTAGGGTGGTCCACTGGAAAACAGTCTTGGTAAAGTTCTTCATTGGGCGTCAAACAAGTACTTTCACAGCTTTCATTGCTGTCCTCCAAAACTCCTGGACTTTCTTCATTGCCTCCATCAGAATCCCAGGAGGAGTGAGTCCCACTCTCTGACTTAATGCTAGATGTGGTGCTTAAATCCAGAATTGCTCCCTCATTTGGGTCATACCTACAGTCCTCAGGACAGGGTTCTGCAATCTTGCTCATGGGGAAAACTAAGCTGCCAGTTCTGTTTGTGCCTTTGAAAATGACAGACGTTTGTTGCTCAATATGCCCTTTCAAACAGACTTCTGGGCAAGCTTCTTTGGCCATATCCTTCAAGAGATCAATTGCGTTGAAATGGTTCTTGTTGATGTCCAAAGGATCTTTTGTTAAAAGCTTATGGTGAAGGTTTAAATTGGAGCTGTGTCTAGAGTAAAAGAAATATCTAGAGTAAAAAGATGACCTGGGAAACTTCCTGTTTAAAAATAATAAGAGTTAAGTTGATCAGGAAGAAGTTGAATGGAAACGAACTGGGTGTCTTGAGCTCTTCACATTAATGCCATGCCAGATAGAAGCACATCCACAGGGGGAATGTTACAGGAATCAGAAAACTAACGAGAAACAATAGAAGCTGGGATAGGAATATAAAATTAGCATTAAAAATCATGCCATATATTGGCTTAAAAAATTGATACACATGTTCTTTCATGTAGAATAACTGGGGCCTGTTTTCACAATGGCTATTCAGCAGCCAGATAGCCCATTGGTTCAGAAAGCCAGACAAGAAGCCATGAAGGAATGGCTTTCAACTTGTGTTTAGATTTGCATCTGCTGCTTAATGCTGCTAGTACCTTTGCAGTGACTGCTGCTAGCTAAGCAGGAGAAGACTGGAAATAAGGGATATACAAGAAATATACTATGAATTTATTTTGGAGTGAGATAATATGATCCTCCAGCAAAGATTCCATCATAGACCAAGCTGCAGTAAAATATGGAATCCACTAGAGCCTGTTTTCAATGACTCAAAAATTACACACTGAATACCCATCTTAGGTGTAATCTGTCTGCAAGACTGGGTGGCCTAACCCCAAGCAGTCCTTACAGCGCTCTTAGGTCATCAACAAAGCACAAACTTGCATACTTTTATTAAAAGGGCATCTATTATTTAAGGGTACATACAAAGCTATGTTTCTTAGGAAAAGTTTACAAGGTAAGTATCAAATGTGTGTATTTTGGAAAGTTGTGAATGAAAACAAGTGCTTGTTTTCTTGCAGATGAAAGCCAATAATTATAAGAAAATCTGAGAGACTGGAATTAGGAAACGCATGCTAGCATGCTATTCTAGTTTCTCAGCAAATCTTAACAAATGCTTTAGAAATCTCTGTGGAGCCCAGACGTACCTGTCGCTCTCTATGCTTTTCCTATGCGTCTACTTGTACTTTGCTAGGACACATCCTTAATGGCATAACTTTCTTTACATGGGTTCAAGTAAATGGTGACTTTGCCCTATTACACATTTATTTATTTATAAATGCAGCAGTCCCAATTAATGCTGATTGTTATGAACTTCTCTAGATGGGACTGATGAGAAGTTCATTTTAGTGCATCACAGCATTCAGAAAGCCTGGCATGAAGTAGGTGGTGAGGATGTGAGTCTTGCTAGGACCAAGTGGAACTCTAACTTGGCATCTGCAGAACCACAACAAATAACTGTGTCATCAGGTCTGAGACACCAGTGTTGATAAGACCTAAGAACTCCACTCAATAGCCAGCATCTTCATCTGCCTTCAAACTGCCAGGATGCTACAGAGCACCATCTTCCTTATTCCTCGTTTGAGTTACCTGAATTTAAAAACAAGGTGGGGAACCTCATTTGGGTCAGTGGTCACATTCCAGAAATGGCAAGGCCAGGACAATTCCAAAAAAATCAACACTCGCCCTTTACCTCCCAAGATAAAGAGAAACCAGATTATGCTTATTGAATACTAGAATGGCATGATAAAAATGATTATAGAAATAAAATGAATAAAAATGCAGAGGGATCTTCAAGGGCCACAATGATTCCTGGAGACATATTAGTATTCACCCTTACTTTATAACACTGATAGAAAATCTGGCAAGAAAAAAGTACCCCCTACAAAATTAGTTCCCAACAGATTTTTAAAAAAATATCTACAAGGAGGAATGTGAAGATATACTTAAACCCTCTAAACTCTCTAAAAAAATGGAATTCTTTTCCACTCTCATAGTCTACCAGCAATACGATTATCACCTTTTTGCTTAATGCCTTCTTGTCTTCTGAAAAGCAGAGTTTGGTTCAATGGATTTTCATTTTAGTACTATTCTGACAAAAGGGTGTAACGTGCCAGTGAAGCAGGCATGATAGATTGTGGCATTCTCCAAAGTATAAAGCAGGCTCTATTGTGCAAATTGGTTTACTTTAAACACACAGGGGCACACAGTGATTTTGCCCAACGCATCCTTACCTGTCTCGGCTTCTACGTGAGGGAAACGCAGCATTGCAACCCTCCACAATGCAAGTATGCATTTCTTTTAGATGCACATTTTTAAAATGCATTTTTACACTGTAAGGGTTTTTAAAGGTCTTCAGGCAGATGTCACAGTGAAAGCGTGTGTCTTCCTGTGGAAGCTCTAGGGCCTGGGGATTGCCATGATCCGTATCTTTACATGCTTCAAACCCAGGAATGGCCATGCTCCGGTTGGACAGTGTGCTGAAACTGCTTCCACTCAACAAGTGGTAATGCAGTTCAGGCCAGTCGGTCATTGGGATCCTGTAATTCAACTGCTCTCTAAGGTAGCTGTATGGCTCAGTTGCTGCTTTGATCACATCATGGTGTTGGTTAGGCGCTTCGTATGCATTTTCACAAGAGGCTATTCTTACTGATTGGTTTTGCTCTGGCTTTTTTGTTTTCTCAGGGCAATGCAGTTTGTCCATTTCAGCACACTTGCTATTTGTCTCAACAGACTGAAAAGTTTTGGGCCCTCCAACCTTGGAAATGGATGTCCACAATGCCTCTGAGTGAGATTGCTTTTCCATTAGATGATTCGTATTTTTTTCTATCCTAGACACCCCCATCTCCGCAGGCCCTTCACTTACCGCCTTTGAAGTCACATCATCTTCTGAACTGGCAACTTCATTAGTTGGGCTAGTTGGGTCAACGGCTTCTTTCTCTATCTTGATGGGCATGCTAGACTTACGGGATTTTTTCTTAGGCAATGGATCAAAGGGCAACTCACTGGATACCTGTGGCTCAGGTACTGATGAGGAAACCAGAGGTAGAGAAGGAAGCGTACCTGGTGTATTTGCAAGTTCAGCTGGGGTGACCGGGCTGCGGTAGAATGGAAGGACTGGTTGCACCGTCTTCAAATTGGGAAAGAGAACACCATTTTGTCCGCTATGGTGAAAACTTGATTGTACTTTTGAATCAGTACAAGAACTCCCATAGATAGGAATTGATCTGTGATCAGGAGGTAAAAGGGTCAAATCAGTCCTTTTGTTCTCCTCCAGGCCTCGGATGGGCAACCCGTTTCTGAGATCTTTATCTCGGTTGTTTCGGTTCATGGGCATGTGAAGTCTTGGGTTGGGATTGGCACTGTGACGGTTTCGGCTCCGTAAAGAGCTGAACACCATGTTGCAACCTTCAATGGTGCATTTATGTTTGATTTTCAGATGCACAGCATTGTAATGGATCTTCAGAGTGCCCTTATCATAAAATGTCTTTTCACAGGCTGTACAGAAAACACGTCCTTTCCTTGTTCCAGCCCCATTTTTGTCAACTGACTTCATTTTACTTTCTTGAGATACCTGGCTTGTTTCCAGCTTGGAGGACATTGTCTGAGTTTTCAAACCACTTGGTGAAACATCCTCTTCTGGTTTCAGAGTGAGGTCTGGGCTGATTGTCCCCTTCTCCTTTTCAGGTTGAAATGATGGGTTGGAAGCTAAGAAACTGTTTTCAGCAAACTGCACAAAGTCATCTTGCTTCAAGTCAGCACTGTGGTCTTGAGAGGACTCCATCAAGAGCCTCTCTGGGAGTGAACCAATCAAAGGTGGAGGAACAGGGCTATAAAACTGAAATGGCAGCATAAATGCCATGTTATTGACAACATTTTCAAAGTGATGGATGTGGATGGGGTGTATTTTGTCTAAAGACGCAGGAAGATTAGAGTTTCTCTGATTGCAGCTTTCGATAAATGCTCTAATATCCATATTGGCTGTGGTTGTGGGGACAGTAATGGATTGCCCTTCTTTCTCCTGAATTGCCATCAGCTCCACAATGGACTTTGTTTCCCCAAAACGCAGAAATTGCTGCAAGGTAGCCAGCTCTTCTTCGCTGGTCATGATACTCCAGTGATCCAGGACCTTTCCTGAAGCATCCTTCAAAAGACAGATAACAACAGTAACAATACACTTGAAAGGGCAACATACTAACCTCAAAAGAAAGTAGACTAGTTAATTGAGTTGGGCTTGATGACTGAATGGTGACTGAATGGAGAAATGCTCCGTTTAATGTCTAACAGGTAGAGCACTCTCAATCACTGTAAAACAGGAGAGAAACTAGACATGGCTCTTGTACCCAAGTAGTCTGCTGTTCTTCACTTATCTGGCCTACTTGCCGTACAACACACCTGGTTGCCAGAGTAGATAAGAAAAGGGAGTGATGACAACTGGGGAGATAATGAGAAAGAAGAATTGGGACAGCTTCTCTCTTCTTTCAATGGGAAGTTTAAAATCCTATGCCTGGGATTAAGATGGCAAGATGGCAACTTTAAATTGTGGTCCCACTCTTAACTTATAAAAGATGCAAGTTTATTGTAAATTATATTTTGCTCTTCCTTTTCTGCTTCCTTTTCCTTTTTGGTAATGACTTTTAAAAATCAAATTGCAAGCTGCTTTGGAAGCCTTCATTCTTATATACATTTGTTCCACCAAGCTGTTTCAAGGAATCCAGCAGGAATGGAACGAAGGATTACCTGCTAGACTACATCGAAAAGGAACCCTTTCTTAGGAGCCAGTTTAGCCCCTGCTAATTGCTGACCTGTATAACAGGCAGCTTTCTGAGAGATCAGGGATTCTGTCTAGTGAAATCCACGTAAATGATATACTTGTGGACAGGTTGCTAGCAACTTTGCAACATATTATTCTTGGTTTTCAATCACCTTGGCATAAGTTATTTCTAAAGTCATCCTAACAGGTGTTTGGAAAACATTTTGTAATTATCCCAATAATATTAGGATATGTGCCAATGGAGCAACACCTGAGTACAAGGCAAAGGAATGGAGCAATCAAAAGGAGATTTGGTTCCACTTCTAAGTTGAGTATTCTTTCTCTGCAAGTTTAATCATATTCTGCACTACAATCAGAGAACAAATGAACTTGAATCGATCCTTCCCTAGTTCACAGAGCACAGCTGTAATTACACTAGAGTGTTGGAGTTCTTTCAAACTCCAACCCTACCAAACTTTTCCCAATAACTACAATAAATATTTTATTGCAGAACATGTATTTGATGGCCTACTGAGAAATTTCACTGGGCACGCAAGAGGTTTCTAAGATGATGAAGAATGTATCATCATCAATTTTTCATGCAAAAGAGGTTCAAGGTAATTGAGCCCATTTTTTTTTCATCTTAACACTAAAAAGCAAGATTATCAAGTGGCATTAAATATTTATTTGTGGCATAATGTAAATCATACTTTACATTAAAAGAAGGAAGTTGAATGAGCAGCCGAGAGGTGGGCATGTGTACTGTATAGAGTTGACTTCTACCCTTGATGCAGGTCAAATCTGAAAGGATGTCACTCAGGCCAATAATTATACAGTGAATGACATTTGATAATGAAGCCTCTGCCACCATTGGCTAATGCTGCTCTGATGTCATCAGAATATTCACAGACACTCCAACAGACCAGGGAACAAAGTGCTAGAACTTTTGCAACAGAGCTTCTGTAAAAGAAGGGGAAATCACCAGAAAATCACGACTGCCATTATTTAGCCAATTTTGGGGTGGCAGGTTCTCATTAAAATTGTAGTAATTAAACTGTTCCCCTCCAAATATTTACTTATTTTCAGACTTTAGCAGGAAGGAACCATACATTTGGTTGGTTCAAGAATAAGAGGTTGCCACATTAATATTTGCACATTTATATCTAAAATTGGGTCATCAGCTGGTGGCTGTTGAGCCAAATGAGCCTTTTTCTTTCTTAACAGAAGCAGTACCAGAATGTCTGTCCACAGCTGAAATGCTTCAGATTTTAAAAACTTATTCTGGAACCTATCAAAAGTGAGGCATACAAAACCAAAGAAAAAAAGAAAAATCAAATCAATCCAGAACTATATTTTAAACATATAAGGATTCTAAGTATGGAAAGAAAAAGTTCTCCAAGTATATTCCCTTATCCGCCAAGTGCACTTTATTCAACAAGCCATGGCTAAACAAACTATAGCTTATTGCAGACTGAAATCAGTCCAAAATGACTGACAGTAGGTGATTGACTGACATGCCCAAACAGCAGCTGGAACTGTGTGTTCTGTGTTATTAGCAAGGAACTAGCGATATGTACCAGTTCTACCAAATCGCATTTTTGGGTGACATCATTCGAGTTATCTATTTTTTCAAAGTTATGATGGGAATGTGGAATAGAATCTTGCCATGTACCGTTATCTTTTTACAAGAAGGTTCCACTTCTGTGTTCCAGCTTGCCAGATAACAATGCCCTCCTCCAAGAGAGCTCTTTTCAACTTCCATTTACCCCATTTCCCTTTTTTTTCCCCATTTGACACCCAACACTCCACAACTGCTGAGGATGTGCAGTTTACTGGGATGTTTCATTTGGGAGGGGCTGTCCATTTGGTTTGAGTTCCTACATTTGACCCGTGCAAAGTTTTCAGTTCCCATAAGTGTATGTAGCAGAAAAATGGTGCTAGTTAGGGCAAGCGGTACTCCCCTTCCTACATGACCTTCCCAGGGACTTGAAGAAATTATGTCACATCAGCCATAAAACAATTTGAAAGCCAAAGAATGTTGGTAAGGTTGTGAAAAGATACCAAGAAGTGAGTAAGGCCTACAGAAAGCAAGGCTGGTATAAAATAAACCCATGAAAATAACTCCTTACACAGTAATGAGGTTTCTAGAACGTCGTCTTTTTCTTCTCAAATCCAGTACACCATTGTTTTTGTATTTTCCCCCCATTAGCTCATAGAATCCACACTCTCTCTGGCTCTATTAACCACTTGCATCAATCATATTAGCCAATCATCTGTATATTCTAATTTGCGTAACTCGATATAAAGGAGTTGCATCCCCACTCCTTTTAGGTTGCTTTGGCTAACTCGATGTGTAATAAAATTTGTGTTTCAACGGAAGTACATGTGATTCCATCCCTGTTATTAAAGAACTCTATGGAGAAATGTTCAATCTTCTACTTGTTCTGATACTTTGGTTTCCAATGGCTCCAGGTTGGCTGCCTTTGTACCAGCCCTTTGTCTCTTCATGAGAACCATGAATTTGACTCTTACCTGTAAAACATATCCCCGTATGTAGTCCTGAAGTGTCCAATCTAGAGCGTGGAGGATGTGTATTACCTCTTCTTGCTTCAGGACGCTGAAAAGACGGTCTAGGAGAATTTTGAGGCGGACAGGAACTGCCTGAGTTCCATATAGCATGAGACTGCTTATATCAAAGACCACATTAGATTGGACTATTTCCACTTGGCTTGTTGGGTATAGGTTTGGGATCCTTAGTTTACTTAAAGCTGAAAAGATGAAAAGAAAATGCAACAACCTATGGATAATTGGGTACAAAATAACCACACTACAGTAATGATTCAGCAACTAGGGAATATTGTCCATCTGATCATTCAGTAACCAATGTCTTAACAGCCATTCCAACAACGTTCCCTACAGGTCTGTCAAATCACAAGCATCTGATCAATAGGCAAGGGATGTGTCCTTCCTGCTATTGCTGAATTACAACTCCCAGCAACCCCAAGAAACAAGACAAAGGAGGCTGGGAGTTGTAGTATAGTATCATAGGTTGGGCCCATAGATTGCTCACCCTTGCTATAAATCAGGTGCTAAAATCTATACACAGAAATATGCAACCTGTAGGATTTAAGCCCTTTAAAGCAAGTGCTTCTGTCTCCTTGACCAGTATGAAATATCTCTGGAATCTACCATTGCAAATCTTAATTTTGATTTGTGCTTTAATCTTGGATTGCGAATGATACAGATGGAGTCATCCAATATCTGATTCGGGGCAAGTTCACAATTTGCCATGAGCGCAGTAATGCACACAGAACTCTCCATCGTTCGGTAGTTCAACACTGAGGAGATCCCGGGTTCCGTTCTCATTATTTTCAGTTAAAAGACTCTGATCATAACAGGGAATGAGAAAGTCCTTTCTCTGCTGAGTTCTAGTAGAGTTGTTATCAGTCAGAGGAGAGAGAACTGGGTAAAACAGACCACTAGGTTGGGTTCACACAGCACGCAAAGCTACAATGTCTTTAGTTTGCTTTATGCACAGTGCATTGTGTAAGGTCAGCCACTAGGATCCGTAAACCGGTTAATGACTTAGAATGTTGTGGGAACTCACTCAACTGTGGCTTTCTCAGAAGACCATGCCCAAGCAAATCGCAGCTTGATGCAATGCATGAATCAGGTCACAGACTTACTGAAATAAGGCACGTTATTAAAGAACAAAGCACAGTCACTTCTGTTTTTAATCTCTGCTACAAATTGTTCAGGGAGAATCTGACACAAAATAGCTAAGAAAGGCTAACCTTTCTAAGTTTTTCTTACAGGTAGGCTTCGTGTAACAAGATTCTGATGGCTTATTTAAAAAAAAAAAAATCAGAAGTGATCATTTTGAATGCTTGGCTGGCTGGGGAATTCTGAGAGTTGACGTCCACATATCTTAAAGTTGCTAAGGTTGAGAAACACTGTCTTAGACCCATCTTCTCTTCATCTGCCTTTCTCTTTTCCAACCCAGACCCATTGTTTTACTTCTAATATTTAATTCAGCACGTGCTTAACTGTAAAGCAGATTACAAAGCAGACTTGAACAAGAAAATAAAATACAGCATTTTCCCTCAAATGAAACAACACCAAATCAAATTATAAGCAACATTCTAGTTTCTTTCTTTTTTTTAATGTATCAACTTTGCCATGTAAAAAGATTGAATTTTACAGGTAGGATTGAATTTATATATTTATCTAATTGTATGACTACAGTAGGAGACAGCTATACAATAGAGGTGTGCAAATCAGCAAAATCTGATTCAAATTGCTGGTCTGATTCAGTTTGGAAAGTAGATCTGATTTCATTTGGTCCTCTGAATCCAGTCTTCAAGTTGAACTGATTCAATTCTGACTTTCAAATCAATTTGGAAAAAAAGATCTGTACATGCACAGAGGCAAAACTAATTCAAAGGGATCAGGTACTGTTCAATGATTCAAACAGACTAGTCAATTTGCTTCAGACAACCGAGCTGGAGATTTAATTGAGTTGACTTTAAAACTCCAAATGGAATCGCACACAGACATACACATCAACCACATTACAAAGCATTTTAGTGCATCATAATATATTACCATGGGCTACCCATCCATGCCGACACTGGTCACACTGTCGTTGGTTTATTTTTCCAGTTTTAAAACACTGGCAGCTACAGTTTACCAGAGTGCATCGGATGGCCTGCAAGATCAAGAAAACAGATGCAAATATCAAGAGTTTAGTAAAGATCCCATCAGAGCTTCACCAGAGCACAGCAGTAAATCTCTCTCTAGAGCAGTGTTTCTCAACCGTGGCCACTTTAAGATGTCTGGACTTCAATTCCCAGAATTTCCCAGCCAGCATGCTG